TTTTATTAAAATATTTAAATTACAACGGAAGATGCTGGAAGAGCAACCCAAACGCAACCTCACTCGACAAAGTCAACACCAATAGAGCATATTGCATTCCATAACTTTCAAACATTACCCCAAAAACAACTGCGGAAAACCACACAACAGACATCCACCCCTCTGATCTATACTTTAGCCCAACATTTGTTGTTGCCTACGATATTGCTTCAGATAAGACTGGCATTTCAACAGCACGGGGAGGGATTGATCCACAGACAATCCCTCCATGTCATCCCTCAATTAATTCTATCAACTCCCACCGTATCTCGTCCTCACCTAATTTCTCTACTCGCTTAATTTCTTTAATAATCATAATAATATTTTATAAAATATATAAAAATAAATAAATTTTTATTTAGAGTTGTTAAATTTAAAAAGTTAAATAAAAAATTATAAGTCACAAATATAATAAAATAGAATCTAAACAACTAAATACATATCTCAATAACCAGGATCGTGCGTTGACTGTTCAAAGGCACAAAAGTTTTTTGAAATAATTTCACAAACAACATTCAGCACTAGGTTGCAGGTTTTGAAATTGGGGTGGTTTAAGCATGTAATTTTTATTTAGTTATTTTTATGATTAAGTCACTGATTTTGGTATGTAGGTGTGGTTGGTATGTACAGTATATTTAAATAGGTAAAAATATCTTTGTATTTTATTTTTTTTAATAAAATTAATTTTACTAAAAAAATACATATTATATCTTACATGATATTTTGAATAAATAAAATTAGTCACAAAATAACACGATTTATTGTTATAAACAATGTATTTAAAACATTACCATATGCCTGATATTTTTCATTTTCATCAATATGATTGAACTCCTCCATTTTCATCCCAAAAAAACACAGATATGGTTATGATCACATACTATTAAAAAAATTTATAAAGGTGTTGTTTAGTTTAATTAATATTTAAAATTTTTTAATTTATAATTTTTTAATAATTAATTATAATATTTGAAAATATTAATTTAAAATTAATTTTAATTTATTAAATAATAAATATTAATCATTTTATTAATTATTTTTAACAATTAAATTATTAGTAATGTATATGTAAATAATAAACACACATTAGTATATGTATCCTTACATTCTTAGGAAAATTATTAATATAACTTTGAATTCAACACTTATTTAATTTAATTATTAAATATAATATAAATATAATTAATTTAATTAATTTAATATGTCATATATAATATATTAAATAAAAAATATATGAATTAATGTGTTGTTATATCATGACTCGATTCGGGCCCCTAATGTAAAATTATGTTTCCGTATGGTTCCCATCAAAAGGCTTTGGAGTTTGGACCACGGAGAGCAGACTTAGGGAAGTCTAAGTCTTCGTCCGTCTTTGTCTTTATCTTTAATAGGTGTTGTAGACCTCTCATCAACCCTGTGAAAGGTGTGCCTCGTTAATTTAATGTACGTCTTCTTCCAAAAAAAAAATCTCCAAAAGGTGTGCGTCCAACTTTATATCAGTACGTAACAGTGTTATAGCCAAAAAATTATATTTGGGGCAAAATCAAACATTCTTTAAGAAATGAACAAAAATGTTATAAAATAAATTAATAAATAATAATAATAATAATTATTATTGGACTAAGTTAAAAAACTTTTACAAGTTTAATGAGGGTTTAAAGTCAATTGTCGTCCCTCTACTCTACCAAAGAGCCAAAACGTCGTCCCTCTACTTCGCTTTTTTTATTCGTTGTTGTCCCTCCACTAACACCGTTCATGTTGCCATAACTGCTGACCGTTAAGTCTAAACGGTCAGCAGTTAAACCCATTTATTCTATTTTTTTTTTCCACACGTGATGCCTAATTACAATTTTCACCATGTGAGCCCCAGTTCATATTAGTATCTTTGGCTCACTGTTCGACAAGCTTTGATCCCTAGTGGGAACTCTAGCTTGGTGGTTGTCGTCCCTGCGACCAGCACTTTGATCTTGAACTCTTAAATTTAGATCTAGATTTTTTCAGATTTTTTTTTT